CCCTGGGAGAACTTTGGGGACAAAGATAAACTCTTGGGTTGGAAGAATTTACAAGTGAATGGAGGGAGATTAGGGCAGACCAAGACCAGGCTGTAAATTCATGTGTTGAGCCATCCTTGTATTCCCCTCCATAGTCACAGTGTATGATCTTTGGCGTGCCGTTATGAGGATTTTATGTCTATGTTCATTAAGAATGTTAGCCTTTAGTCTTTCTTATATTGGCTTCATGCAGCATGGACATCAGGATGGTGCTGACCTCATACAAGGAGTTTGAAGTGTTCCCTTCTCATCCATTTTTAGGGGAGACTTTGAGAAGTGTTGTCACCTGCTGTTCAAGTGTGTGGTAGAATAATGCCGCATGCTCGGGGCTTTCACTTGTCAGGAGGTTTCTGATGACTGGTTGACTGGTAAGAGGCATGCTGGGGGTCTCTAGTTCTTCAGGCTGTAGTCTGGGTAGGTTATGTCTCTAGGAATTTATGCATTCTGAGTTTTCCAGTTTGCTGGGTACTGTTCACAGTAATCACATCACCTGTGTTATTTCTATGGCATCGTTGACTATTTCCTCTTTCATTTCTTTTTTTCTTAGCTCATTAGTTATTAATAAACCGGTTTATCATTTATGAAGAATCTATTTGCTGGGCCAGAGAGATGGTTCACAAGTCAGTATGTGCTACTCTCACCAAAGATCTGGGTATGGTTCCCTGCACCCATGTTAGGAAGCTCACAAATGCTGTAACCCCAGCGACAGAGCAGCTTATGCCCTCTTCTGGCTCCTGAGAGAAACATACATATTCATGAAATAATCTTTAAAAAATTGTAGACTTATTTATTTTTTATTTTATGTGCATGAGTGGTTTGCATGCATTTGTGTATGCATGCCATGTGTGTTGTTGGTGCCCAAGAAGGTCAGAGGAGGGCATCTCATTTCCTAAAACTGGAGTTATGGATGGTTGTGAACCACCACACAGGTGCTAAGAACTTAACCCAGGCCAACTCAGCTTTGTTTGTTTTCTGTTCTCTGTGCTTCTCTGCGTGTTTGCTTTTCTTTCCATCTGCTGACACTGGACTTCATTGCTTCTTTTCTGGTTCTTGAGGTAATTGAGTATCTAAGACTCTGCCAACTGCTTTCCAAAGTTGCTGTACCATTTTGATCTGACAAGAGGACCATTCCATTTTGTTCTGCAATTTCACCCAAAACAGGAATTTCTAGTCCTTTCATTTGTTGCAATTCCAACGTGTAGGAGACATTGTTATGGCTCTAGCTTCCATTTTCCCCTGCAATAATGAGGTTGAACATCTTAGTGGCCATGTACAACTCTTCTTGTGTGCATTTTGCTTTTATTTGTGGCTTTTTGTTCATGGCTGAGCTTTGACGTTTTTTCACACTCAAGAGATGATGATACATCATGTTTTCAGTTTTCCCTAATGTCATTCACTTTTGGGTTTTGTCTTTGAAGAGAAAATGCTTTTAATTTTATAAAATTTAATTTATATATTTTTGTCTTACAGTAAACAAAATTAGTATTTGTGTGCAAGTGGGTCACATAGATGTCTATTTGTTGTTAAGACTCTACATAGCTTTGAGTTTACAGTTGTTCATGTTACAAACAGCAAACAGCAGAGAACAAAGACAAACACAAGTCCTAATCACAAAACAGCTGATTGGTTTGCTTCATTTTGTCTGTTCAAGATGGGAAATGTTTAGCCCAGGCTGGCCTAGAACTCACCATGGTATAGCCTGGGATATCTTTAAACTCATAGCAATCCTCTTGCCACAGACCCCCGAGTGTGTGCTTATTAGAATGATAGGCATGTGCTCCCATACCAGCTAAAATAGGTCTTCTTAAGCCAATAGCTCTAGGTTCAGTGAAGTGTTGGAGTACCCAGTAATCATGCATCAGAGCAGAGTATGGTGGGATCCAACCCACACTCTGAATGTGTGTGGTTCTGCATATGCAGTCTGGATTTGGGATGTGTGGATATTCTACAAGTGTCTCTGCCAATATATTTCTCCTACCTGCTGGCTCCTTGACAGAATGAAACCAGGCTCTCAATCTGCTCCAGAGTGCTGCCCCCACACAGTCAGGCTGTAGGCTGATAAGGTTTTGAAAGAGTAAATAATTTTTGTTAATATGACTTGGAGGCATAATTGAGTCTCATTTTCAGAAACATGCAAAAGATGGGTCCTCTAATTCATTTATGTTGGAAAAATGAAAAGCACAGTGTTCACATGGCCTCGCAAATGTACAGAGAGATGAAGATAGATGTTGGGGGGTCATCCAAGATCCACTGTCTTTGACACCCTGAGCCCTTGTGCTGGCTGCCTGGGCTTGAATTCATTTTCTTTGACTTTCAGCAAGTTAACTCCCTTTCTGAGGGCCTGGGGGTGGGGGAGGTTTACTTGCTTTTTCCTTTATCAAGCCTTGATGCTAATCTTTCTGGTTATTAAAATTACTAAATGACACAGCTCAATGGAAACATTTAATGCAGGGCCTTGCATTATCTACCCAGGGTAAATTATCACTAGATGGATCATGAGTCTGCATTGGATGTCCAAGGTTTCAATTCACTTTTTGTTTTATTTTTTGGCAAGGTAGCCATTTAAACCAGAGTGTGAGTATTGTATTAAGTGGGCCACAGTCCACTGGAGCCTATTTCAATATCATTTTTAGTCTTTCCTGGTATTTAGCAAGTCGACAATAGAAATGCGCCAGAAAGAGTCATTTTTTAGCCAGAGAAGGTTACACCAAAGAAAGAAGGAACTAGCAAAGGCAGATGGCGTTCCCCATCGTGTTCTGTAGCTTCTGGGTGGGACTTGACCTCTTGAGTAGGTTTCGCACTGGGGAGCAAGGGTGGATTGTGTGGGCCGCATGACCTGAGGGAGGGTGTGAACCCGAGAGATGCTAATGAGCAGGAAGCTCCGTACCAGCCACAGAGTTGACGCCTTCCTCATCGTTGGCCATGTCTAAAATCATTTATTGTTTCAACAGAGTTTTCAAGTCCTAACAGCACCCTGGCATTCTGCTGAACACTGTAGATAATTCTGAAACCAGTGCCCACTCTTTTCAGTGAGAGAGCCCTGTAGGTATAAAATAGGGACTAGAGGCCAAAGTCATTAGTAGGCTCTGAGTGTTTCAACAGTCCATAGGGAAAAAACGAGATGCCTAATGTGGCAGCTCATGCCTGTAACCCAGCACTAGGGAAGTGGAGGCAGGAGGATCAGAAGTTCAAAGTCCTCCTCAGCTACTCAGTGAGTCTTGGGATAGCCTGGCTACTTAAGACTCTGTATCAGGAAAGAGATAGATAGACAGACAGACAGACAGACAGGCAGGCAGGCAAATATGCAGCTTATAAAGTCTGTGGACAGAACAGGGGACTTTTCTTGGTTGTTTTTACTCTTTACTCTTTGGGGGGCTCTGCCACCCATTTCCCAAATAAGTCACACAGAGGCTTATTACTACCTATAAATGTCCAGCTTTAGCTTGGCTTGTTCTTGCCAGCTTTTCTTAACTTTAAATTATTCCTTCTACCTTTTCTCCGTTTCTGTATACCTTAGTTTACTTCTTACTCCATGACTGGCTGTGTGGCTCTGTGGCTGGCCCCTGGCAGTCTCCTCTCCTTGTTCTTGCTACTTCTTCTTCTTCTTCTTTTTCTCCCAGATTTCTCCTTCTATTTATTCTCTCTGCCTTCCAGCCCCACCTATCCTTTCTCTTGCCTCGTTATTGGCTGTTCAGCTCTTTATTAGACCATCGGGTGTTTTAGACAGGCACAGTAACACAGAGTTAAGCAAGTACAATACAAAAGAATGCAACACATCTTCAAATCATTAAACAAATGTTCCAGAGAATAACAAATGTAACACACCTTAAAATAATATTCGACAACAGGAACTGGTGCTGGAGCTGTCACAGAATGAGACATATGAGTCCCCAGCTTCACCACTCAGCAGCTAGGCAGTGTCAAAAAGAAAGATTAAACCTGACAGAGGGAAAGAACTCAAGGTTTTTTTTTTTTTTTTTTGGTCTTTAAGGCTCAGTTTAGCACTTGTCCAAGGCTGTTATTGTGGAGATAAAAGAGACTCATTACATTCATGATTCACTTTTTCCAATAGAAAATGGTAAATGTGATCTCAAACCCTATACCAGACACTGATGTCTCCAGCTAGCCTGAATGTCCTTATACTTAAAACTAGTATTATAATATTTTTAATGTATTCTTTCCCACAGTCTTGGCATAAGGAACTAGATTCAGCAGCCAGGAAGTAGGAGGGAAAGGATAGATACATATCACATAATTTCAGCAATAATGACTTTGCTGAGCTGAACATTGCCTGTCATGTGACCCTGATTTTCTTCTCTTAGACAAAACGTCCCAGCTTGTCTCTCTGTGGCTGACTTATGTTACAGGTGCGACTCCTATCTTTAATCCACTAGTTATACACAGTTGACCACCAGTTCAAAGTCTACACAGCACAAACTCACAGCGTGGACCCCTTCTTCCCCAGAATGCTGTCAAGTAGCAAGGGGCACAAGGCTGTCAGCTCTTTACCGATCCATCTGTTGGGTCAATGTAGGGTTTTTAGTGGGATCATGGCAAAGATAATAATTGTTTGGGAACTTAAAACATCTTAAGTAATTAAGCTCTAAAAAGCAATTGGGGGAGGGGAGTAGAAAATGAAGAGGAAGGGAAATCCAGTGAGACACACAGAAGGGAGATCCAGTGAGGCACACAGAAGGGAGATCCTGTGAGGCACACGGAAGGGAGATCCAGTGAGGCACACGGAAGGGAGATCCTGTGAGGCACACGGAAGGGAGATCCAGTGAGGCACACGGAAGGGAGATCCAGTGAGGCACACGGAAAGGAGATCCAGTGAGGCACACAGAAGATGGCAGCAACAGGAAATCTAATTGGTGTGCTCTCGTTTCTTACAGAGTGAACCTTCCAGCTTCCTCATGGATGGGCATCATCTGCCTGATCACCCCAATCTGTGGGAGACTTCCTTGTTGCCGGTACTCTGGACACATTGTCCCTTGTCAGTGCCCACACCCTTTGAGAGCCTGAACAAGATGAAGGCAGACAGACAACAGTAGAGTGGGGTGATGCTGTAGGGATGAGACTAACAGTGGGTCAACTTTAAGATTTCAGAGGAGAAACACGTTCACGCGTTAGTCACCTCTGCATCGCTGTGAGGAGCACACTAACAAACAATTCGTGGAAAGAAAGATTGTTTTGGGTTCCCAGGTATCACAAGGTTTAGGCTGCCACAGGAGGGAAGACATGTGCACCAGTTCCCCTGACAAGTTAGCGAACTGGGGGGCAGAGATGATGTGATTTTCTCTCAATTACATCCCACCTCCCAAAGTTGCCAGAACATCCCCAAACTGCACCGTGGCTGGGGACCAAGTACCTAAAGCTTGAGCATGTAGGACATTTCAGATTCACGTAACAACCCTCGAAGCAGCTGTGCGCTCACGTTATGGCAAAGTCACGTGGAAGGGTAGTTAGCAGATGAGAAAAGTAGCAGCTCACAGTCAGAGGATGCGAGGTCAGGCGGAGCAGACAGGCTGCGAAGCAGGAATACGCATCCCTGGGAACTCACAGCAAAGGGAAGGGTAGATCTCGTGGAGTCGATAATCCCCAACAGCCATGGAAAGACCCTCCTGAAAACTCACAGTGAGAGCAGTTTTTGCCTTCTGGGCAGTTTTTCCTAGGTTGACTGGGAGAGAAGGGGCAAACAACAGAGAGGCAATACTTAGTAATACAGTGAGAAAATTAGATATATAAATTAACAATAAAGGTATGATATTGCAAATGGACAGACCAAAATATCCGCATCCTAACTGCTCAGGTCCCAGGTGTCTCCAACCAAGACCGTAAGAGGTCGGTGTGGCCTGAGCGGTTAGTCATCTTTGACGTCACTCAGATGAACCTTTCCTTAATTGCAGCTGAGACTGTGTACGAGCAAGGAGCCCTCTGGCTGTCAGACTCATCTTTCCACTGTCCGTGACCCAGCTGTCTGTCGCCTCCCCACACAGCACAGCCCTCAGCGGGAGTTGTTAAACATCGGAATGCTGCTGTCTGTAGAGCTATGATTCCCCCCATGTGCCTCAGTGGCTGGATGCAGCCCACTCTCTGACTCAGCATCTTCCACCAGCACATCTTTCCGTTCCTACTGGTGAATGTTTAACCACAAAACCAGAGTCCTCTGCTAGGGGGCATCTATCGGTCATCTACCTTTCCAGCCGGAAGTGAAATGGGTTTCTGCCGTTTTCTGCAAATACTCCAAGGTTGGTGTCTCTGGAAGCAGACACTAAGACACTTTGGGGATGTGGTATATTCATTGCCAAGGAGGCCCTCTTCAGGAAGGACGAAGACTTGGCTTAGTCAAAGAAAGCTGATGGGGTAGGGGGTGCAAGAGTGTCAACAGTAACCTTGCAACTGCCTGACTCAGGACTAGAAGCACTTTCCCCAGTCATGGACATGGGTACTCTCATAAGATACAGGCAAGATGACCCTCTTCATGGAAGGAAGACTCTGAAGGAGATGAAATCTGGGGCCTGTTAGCTGATCACATTGTCTACAACTGGGCATCAAATCATTTCTTCAATTAGACAGATGCTTGATGACAAATGATAGAAAGATGAATGGATGGATGTATGGATAGATAAATGATAGGTAGTAGATAGGTAGATGATAGATAGATAGATAGATAGATGAATAGACAGATGATAGATACATGATAGCAAGATAGATTGTAGACAGATGCATGATATATACGTGATAGGTAGATAGAGATATGATCGATGCATGGTAGACAGATGATAGATGATTGGTAGATGATAGATATATAGTATAGCTGGCTTTCATGGACCACCAGCCCCCAAATCATGACATGGAGACTTCTTATTAGTTATGAATTCTTGGCCTTATCTTATGCTTGTCCCATTAGCTCTTATAACTTAATTTAACCTGTTTCTCTTCATCTACATTTTGCCTCGGGGCTTTTTACTTTTCTTTCATTCTGTATGTCCTACTTTCCTGCTTCCTTTGTGTCTGTCTGTCTGGCAGCTTCCTAGCTGGCTGGCCCCAGGTATCTCCCTCTCTTTCTCTCTCATTCTCTTCTCCCCCAAACCTAGATTCCTCCTCCTACATATTCTTTCTGCCCATTAGCTCCATCTATCCCTCTACTGCCTAGCTATTGCCATTCAACTTTTTTTTTCTTTTTGTTTTTCAAGACAGGGTTTCTCTGTGTAGCTTTGGAGCCTATCCTGGATCTCACTCTGTAGCCCAGGCTGGCCTTGAACTCACAGAGATCTTCCTGCCTCTGCCTCCTGAGTGCTTGGATCAAAGGCGTGCGCACCACCGCCCGGCAACATCCAACTTTTTATTAGACCAATCAAGTGCCTTAGGCAGGCAAGGTAAAACACACCTTTACATAGTTAAAATAATATTCTATTCCACTTTACTATAGATTATAGATAGGTTGATAAATTGATAGATGATAAATTGACAGATAGATGATAGCTAACCCAGTAGCTAGTCAGATGGTAGCTAGATGATTGATAGCTACATGATAGATAGATAGATGAGAGATATGTGATAAATATGTGGTAGGATGATGATAGATAAGTAGATGATAGATGATGGATGATAACTAGATAGATATAGATGGATGATCGATAGGTTGTAGGTAGATAGATATATGATGTATATATAATAGGTAGATTATAGCTATACACATATAATAAATGGCATGACAGACAGATAAATTATAGATAGATAGATAGACAGATAGATAGATAGATAGATAGATGATAGATAGATAGATAGATGGATAGATGGATGGATGGATGATGGGTAGAAATAGATGTCATGGTGTATGTATAGCTATATGCACATATACAGAGAAAGGAAAAAGGAAGGGGAGAAGAAGGCAGATTAGCCTTAATATTTTGTATAAATCAAGAAGACAAATGAATTTTCAAAACCCATGTATTGTATGGATAGTGTTTTAAAGGATGTGGCATATTTAGAAATGTCATCCAGGAGAAATGTTTGCAGGCATGTGACAATCTTTACATCACTCTGCTGTTGCAGATCAGGGTAAATTTGTAGAAAGCCGATCCTATCAAACTTTGAGTCTTTATCTTACCATCAAGGGCAGGTCTAGAAAACACAGCAGGAATAGAGCAAGGTTTGGTGGTTGACAGGAGAGCAGAAACATCAAGGATGATGGGGAAGTGGTGTCGTGGCTGACCAAGGACCCCACACAGTTCCTATGTGCAGCTGCAGAGAGGAATGATGGAAGACAGTATAAAGATGGAAGAACTTGCAGTTCTTACGCATGTGCAGAAGCCACATAGAAAAGGAAGTGGCAGGAGGAATAGGAAAGGGCCACTTGAGATCTTGCCTGAGAAATGGCCTATGATGAGACCCAGAATGCAGCTACAGAACGGGAAGCGAGCATAGAAAAACAACAAAGGCTACATAAAAATGTAAGCAAGAGCATGTGCAGATGACTACTGTCCAAGAAGGTTTTGGCGACACCTGCAAAGATCAGACTTGAACTTGAAGTTCCACAAAGAGCAAGGCACCAGAGGCCATGGCACAGCCACTAGGAATTTAGAATCTGAAACCTCTGGGCGAAGATGATAACTAGACTCTCTTCTTCGAGAAAAGACCTCACTTACTTTTCCAAATGCGGGGGAAACCAAGTCTGTGTTTTAGTGACAAGCATTGTTTTAAATTGCTAAAACATGTCGAAATGTGCCCTGGTGGATAGAGGGTCAGAACACATTGTTAAAAACAGACATTGAAAGGCCTCTTCCTCTTTCACTTTCTGCCACAGTGTCTGCTAGGCAAGGAACATGATTCATTAATAAATTTAGCACCAGAGGCCTGACTCATTCAGAAACTTTTAACCACTACCCCAGCCCATCTTACTATAATTTAGCGAAGATATTCCCCAGGCTCGGGTGTCAGAAGGACGCCCTACACGTGGGTGATTTTATAGTGTGTACAGCAAGCACACCGATAGTATGTATCCCTTCTTAGAGATGTTTCAGCTGAGCTCAGTGTCACTTTAGGGCAAACACTGAACAGGGTGGGCACAGACTGACCATTCTAATCACCCAGATCAGCATAATGTCTGCATAAAAGCACTGAGTTCAAGGCAGATGACAATGTGGTGTCTGTCCCCATGACCTCACAGAAACAGAGGCTACTAAACATGAGGAAGTTACCCCATGTCCATCAGTGGGGAACTTGAGTGCAAGCATTATTTCTTATTCACTATGAATTTACTCTCCCTAGCACAGTTTGGTAATAGGCATTCAAAACAGAAGTTTGTTGATGAATGAGTGAATATCTTGCTTGGTTTTGTTTGTTTTGAAACAGGATCTTACAAAGCCCAGACTGGTTCTGAACTGGCTATGTAGTTAAGGCTGGCCTTGAACTCCTGATCCTTCTGCCTCTGCCTTCCAAGTGCTACTATTACAGGCATGAGCTACTAATCCTAGGAGTGAATGAATATCTTAAGCACTTTGTGTGTGTGTGTGTGTGTGTGTGTGTGTGTGTGTGTGTGTGTGTGTGTGTGTGTGATTGCCTTTCTTGGGAGGAATATGATAAAATAGATACAGGTCTGAGCAATGAGACATATTCAAATGCAAGTCTCAAGGATGAAGACAACATAGGACAGAATCTCTGCCTCCTTGACCTTGGGATTCTGACTGGCATGTGATGTTAATACTGTGTAGTTCCTGGGGCTGAGGCAAACAAGGATCAAGGAGAACAACAAGATCCCAGGTTCCAGATCTTTGCCTTCCTAGGGTTTTATCTTTTTATACTTAACACCTGAACCTCAAAAATCTCAACTACTTTGTGGTCCTGGTCAAGGTGAGGAGGGAGACGGCTCAGTTGGAAGAGTGTTTGCCATGCAAGCACTGAGTTCAATCCCAAGGGCCCACGCAAAACCACAAATGGGCGTGGTGGTGTGAGTTTGTAATAGAAGCACCAGGGAGGCAGACACCGGACTCCTGGGGTTCACTGGCCAGCCAGCCTCCCCTACTGCAGAGTTCAAAGCTAGTGAGAGACCCTGTCTCAAAAATTAAAAACAATCAAACAAACAACGTGGATGGTGCTTGAGGAACAATACCTGAGACTGCTTTTGACCTCCACATGCATGCTCACCCATGTGCACCTGCACATATATACACACATGCACATGCTTACACACACACACACACACACACACACACACACACACACACACACACGTCAATTACAAAATGTAAGCACCATACAAGGTTTTTGCAACTGACCCAAGAGGAATGCAACGGAAGGGATGAAGGTAACAAACAGCAAGGTAAGATAACAGATAATTATTCTGGGACAACATATGATCCTGCAGCATTCCTCTCCCCCATCTTAATGCCTACCAGACCCCAACTTCACTAAAGCATTCACTTCTCTTGGGTGAAAGAAAGAAGGGTGACCCCCTCCACAGAGGCAGGTGTGGGTCCCAGTTGCTATCAGGTCATTCCCTTTGTCACTGTTACGGTCCAGTGGTGGGAAAGATATGTCGTCACTGCCTGGCATGAGTTCTCACTCTCGGCTGCTAGGTATAGCCAAAGGGGAAATTGGCTTTTGGCAGTCACCTTAGGACCATGAGAAACCAGATGCTGGATGGTAATGGGGTAAATGTGGCTTTCCAAGGAC